TCATAATGTAATAATTTTGAGGCCATTCATTCGTAATCTATTTACGATAACCTATAAAGCGATAAAAAATAACCTATATACCTATTTCGTGAAACCGTGTTTTTTACGGATATGTTTTAAATAGTTTATAGTTGCTGTTGTCATGAGAAAAAAGCTGGACCGATTTAGAATGAAACTTTGTCTGGTTTAAGTTTAATCAATTGCCACGAAGAACTAAAAGAAGGTTATATGTTTGGCCTATTTGTATGTATTATGTATGTATGTATGTATGTATGTAAATATCGTGATATCGAGTGTCATAGAGTATACCAGCTACTCACCCTCGCTCCGCTCGGATTCCTTTCCACTTACGTTTTAACATTTAGTATAAATTTCTCAGAAATAAGATAAATTCCCGCAGTAAAAAGTATCCTATATGTTGACCCGGATAACCAGCTATCATCATACCAAATTTCATCAAAATCTGTCCAGTAGTTTTCGCATTATGCGTTCCCAAACAGACAGAAAGACAGACAAAAATTCTCAAAACTTTAAAATATAGATCGGTTTATGCATCGATGATAATGACTTTTTCAATAAAATTAAAAAAAAAATACAGATTCGACTCAATTTTTTTTTCTATAAGTATTATCTATACGATTGGTCAATTCCATAGATACCTACATTCTTTTTTTTTATTTCTTTATTATGGCCAAGGCCAAAGCCACTCGACTATTTCCGGCCTAATGTGATCTCCATAGATACATTACAGCAAATATAAAAACATACTTCTCCAAGGAATAAAACTAAGTACATTCTTTCTAACTGTTTAGTTCAGAGTTTTTTAGTTAATAACAAAGAAAGTCAGCTTCTCTACGCCATTTTTTCTTAAAATCCACACGTTTTGTAAAATCCTATTTTTTCATAGTTTGTAATTTCGACGACACGTTTGGCTCGGTTTGTAGTGACCCTACTTTCTGTGCCGGCAGTCGCCGGTTCGAGTCCCGCTGGAGGTATTCATTTGTGTGATGAGCATGAATGTTTGTACTTCAGTCATGGGTGTTGTATTTAAAGTTATATATGTGTAGTGTATCAACTATCTGGCATCCATAACACAAGCCTCGTAGCTTACCATGGAACTAGATGGAGCTGTGTGTTAAGTACCAATATATTTATTTATAATTCTCTCTCCTGGCATCTTGTTTCTTACAATTAAGCACATAACTTATCGGTATACAGTTATTTATATTAATAATATTATAAAATAATAGGTACTACAGTAATGCAATAAGCCATATTTACTGTCATTTTCCTGTTTCTCCTGTTCCTTTTAGAAAATAAGAATAAAATGGAACATTTACAAATAATATGTTATAGTGACACGTTTATAAATTGTATGTATGTATTCGTCTAAAATGTGTCACGAGAAAGAGACAAACACAATGTACCTATATAGGATAAAGCCGGCAAGAGAAAGAGATAGAATAACACAGGATTGAAAAATAATTTAAAATATAATATTTTTTCTGTTTGTAAATTATTATTTCTCTTCAACCAAAAAAAAGTAGTAAAATATTATTATGTAGCTGATTTTTTTTATTATAATAAAAAAAATCTTACATAAAATAAAAAAAATGGCTAAACGTGTTGCTAAACACAAAATTCGAGAACAGCTGGATCGATTCGGCTAATTTTTTTTTATATATTCGTTGAAGCTCGAGGAAGGTTTTTATGAAGAGAAAAATTGTAAAAAAAATTACGAAAGAAACATATCTATACATATAATTAAATTCCGAGTCGAATCTGTACATTAAATATTTTTTGGAAAATCTTATTGAAATAGTCATTATATCGATACAGAGCCCGAATCTTTAGTTTTTAGATTTTTTGCCTGTCTGAGAACGCATCACGAGAAAACCACTGAACAGATTTTGATAAAATTCGTTATGATAATAGCTGGGTATCCGGGTCAACGTATACGATACTTTTTACTGCGGGAAAATATCTCATATCTGAGAAATCTATACTAAACGTTAAAACGTAAGCAGGGACGAACGCGAGCGAAACGAGGGCGACTTTAAATCGAAATTAAAAAAAAATAAGACCATACATAAAATTTGAACATAATGTGATTTGGGCAGAGCATATAATTAAATCTATACTAATATTATAAACAGGTAGTGTGTGAATTGCGAGTTTGTGACGTTGTTGGGGGTAATCTCTGGATCTACTGAACAGATTTAGGTGAAATTTGGTAAGAAGATAGTTTGAGACCCTGGGAAGAACACAGGATAATTTTTATCCTAGAAATCATCCCTTACAGGGGTGAAAATTTGTATTGGGAAGCAAGCTAAGGCTGAACCCAAGCGAAGCAAGGATGAGTCGCTAGTATCCAATAAAACTATGTATTCAGCCCTTTTTAACATCCCACTGCTGGGCACGGGCCTCCCTTCAATACGAGGGGGATCAGGCCATAGTCCATCACGCTGGCCAAGTGCGGGTTGGCGGACTTCACATGTCTTTCGAAAACTTGCTAAGTTCTCTCAGACATGCAGGTTTCCTCACGATGTTTTCCTTCATCGTTAGGACAAGTGGTAATCATGTTGGAAATGATTCGCACATGAAAATATCAGAGGTGCGAGACCCGGGATTTGAACCCGCTTCACTCTGTTTCCCAAGCGAGCGCGTTATCATGGGGCTACTACTGCCAATTATTACCATTGTTTATTATAAAACTATAATAAACAATATTTTAAAGCTTTAGGCAGAAACTTCAGAAGTATCTATACATATAAAACCTACACATAAATCCCCTAGCGGACTCCAAGCAGGGATCCTGATTGGACGGAGACCATATTATAAGTTGTAGCCTGCACTTGTAAATAGACCAAATACATACATATATCATTATAAGTTATGTGAAAACTACATTGTGTGTATGTTAGTCACTCCATTGCCCCTGAAATGGCTCACTGATTTTGATTGAAATTTAGTATGTACACAGATAGGTTATCACTTGTACAATTAACACACAGGCTACTGTTAAATAAATAAAAACTTTTTAACAAAAAAATAAAAACCGACTTAAAACAAAAGCACTAAAAAGTAAAAAATAACTGATTGGTAGTTTTCATTTACTATACCTACATACCGGTTTTCGAAAATATTTGATTAGGTATGTATTTAATAGGTAGGCTTTAATTACTTAGCCAAAGCACACCGACTTCGAAAATATTTGATTAGGTATGTATAGTAAATGAAAACTACCAATCAGTTATTTTTTACTTTTTAGTGCTTTTGTTTGAAGTCTGTTTTTATTTTTTTGTTAAAAAGTTTTTATTTTTCCCTTTTTAGTGTAGACAATAGTAGCAAAGTAAGAATTCTAACATGTTAGGCTTGTCAAATCAAACAAAATAAGCCCAAACTCAAAGTATCTACTATTAGCCGTTGAAGAGTTCCACCTTTCCACCTTCTGGCCTTACCATCAAATCAGGTCAACAATAACGAACCACTGTACTATCAACGGAAATAGAAACACTTGCAAATTTAAAGTTAATATGACAATTAGAAGTAGGTTAAATTCATCATTAGCTATTTTCCACCCTTAGGGGTGGTATTTTTTTTTTTAATTTAAATGGGACCAATCTGGAAGTATACCCTTTCAAACAACACAAAAATGGTCCAAATCGGTTAATAAATGACGGAGTTCTGAGGTAACAAACATAAAAAAAAAAATACAGTCGAATTGAGAACCTCCTCCTTTTTGAAGTCGGTTGAAAATTGCCAGAAGATAAAAACCAAATTTGTTGTCATAGTTGGCACTGCTGTATATATATAAATAAAGAATTAGGACACACCACCATCTAGTTCCATGGTAAGCTACGAGGCTTGTGTTATGGATACCAGATAGTTGATACACTACAAAGTTTAAGTACATACAAATTATAAATATAAACTCATGACTGGAGTTCAAACATTAATGCTCATCACACAAATGAATGCCCCCAGCGGAACTCGAATCCGTAGCCACTGGCACAGCAAGTAGGGTCACTACAAACGTGTCATTAGGTATATAACATTATAAATATGAAAAGCATCTAAACAGGGCTAGTTTACAATAAAATATAACTTCCTAAACAACCTACCAACATAAAAGGGTGTTTAAAATTAAAAAAAAACTTGGTTATCATCTCGTCACATGTCACCGAATAAAAAAAAAATGCTAGAAATCCAAAAAAAATGCTGTAATATATTCTAATATAGCTTAATAAAGAATGGCAAAAAAAACATACATTTTATAACTCACCGGGTGTCCGGGTGCAGCTCTTGTTTCCAAAGGTACTTGCAACTCCTCAAAGTCTTCATCTTGATGTTGGCAGTAAATCAAATTTTATTAAAGCTTCACCGATAGCTCTTGAGCTGTAAATACCACAGAGTGGCAGTTTGACGTTCATTTGCCAATGAGACATTGAAACATTTGGCGGGCTCTTGTGGGAGCCCTGGGACAGGAAGGAAGAAGGATGGGACTGGGGAGGGGGAGGATAGGACGCTGCGAGCGCTCAGGCGCGGGATGCACCACCATCTTCACTTAAAAGTATACTTTACAAACTAATATTATAAAAAACTTGTAAAATTCCAAATATTCTCGTTTTTTTGTACATCACAGAATCTCTACAGGCGTACGCCCGCAGCCGATGAGATCAATATACTATTCTCTGTTCAACATATATAATCTTCCAATTTTAACAGTCGGTTACATCACCGTATCGTTAAATTTTAACTACAACTAGAATTAAAGACGTCGTGGCGGCGCACACTTAAATATTTTTTTAAAGCTCTCTGACAGCGAGGTGTTTGCGCGTGGAGGGCGCGAGTGGGGGCGCTCGCCGGGGCGCCGCCCGACGTTTACAAATAAAAAATACATTGGTCTCGAGATAAATAAAACGATAAGACTAGCGGGGCTCGCCCGTCGCCGGCCCTCGGAAAATATAATATAACGTGTCATTTATAAAATAATGCTACGTCTTGCGCCTTGCAGACACAAGGAGGCGTGGGCGCGGGCTGGCGGGCGGCACCCTCCCCGGCGCTAAGTAGAGTTGCATCGGACGAGACCACATTGAACTAGCCGTAGGGAGAGCGCCGCGCCTGACCAAAGCCCTAATAAAAAAATCACAGGAGCGCCCTAGAGCCGCTTGCGGGTGCAAGGCGACGGCGACGGGACGGAGCGCCGGGCTACGGTCCGCCGCCGGCCCGCCACCGACGCTCTTACCGGTCCCGTTATTTTTTTTGTATTTTTCTCGTATTTTAAAAGGGACGCGGCGAGAGCGGAGATGGCGAGCCGGCGAGGGCTCGTCTGAACTTATCTACTAAAATTTTCACAAAATAATACCTAACGCCGGAATTTAGTCGACGCCGGGGCGGAGTCTCGCGGTGACACCGGGCGACGCCGCCCCTCGCGCGTCGTCGACGCGCTTCGCGTTACGAAATAAAAAACTTAGCACGAGAGAGGCGGGGGCGCAGCCCTACGGCGCGTTGCGGCATCGGGCTGCGCCCCCGGGCACTAACACTAGAGTCCATACGGGCGGTGTCTACGCCGAGGCGCTGACGTTGAGGAGTAGTTTGAGTGGCAGTGCACGGTCGGGCTCTGGTCGGCAGCGGCCCTCGCGACGCCAGTGCGTGGGTGGAGGCGGTAGAGCAGCCGCGGCTGGGGCGGCGCCCCACTTGCTGCCAGCGTAGCGCTCCTCCCGACGTTCTCGCTCCCTATCGCGCCTCGCGCCGAGTGCTGCGGGCAGCACCATCCGGGAGCAGCGTCTTCGCCCCCGAACCTGCTGTTGCACTTGGACCTGGCAATTCATGTTCCTCTGGGCGCGACGATTGTGCGCGTTATACGCGTTAAGCTCGACCGGTACAGGATACCGATTCCGATATAGACTACGGACAGTTCACTTATCACTTTAGCTGTGGCTTCGACTCGGGGCTGAGCGCGGAGCGCTGGCGGTGTGCACGACACTACACACAAGATGGTCGCCGTGGGACGCTCGCTCGTCGACTCGCAATCCGCCGTTCCTCGGCCTCGAACCGCTGTCGATCTGCGCGGATGACACGTCGAAACACTTAACTGCTTAACTTTCACGACTAAAACGTCGACGGTCGCACTGCTAGCTCCGGTGATAATCGATTAATTGAACAAGACATGGACGCCACCTTTCCATTATTCGCACCTTCACCTCTCGATTTCAACTACGTGACGTCGTTGGCGCTCGTGATATATATACCGTAATGGCGGCTGCGCGAGCCGAGTGCGCAGTGGGGGCATAAAGCTGGCTGTTAACGGCAAGTACACAAAATAAAATATTACTGATTAATTATTCCGATAGTTTCACTTCATCATATTTTATCAATTACAAAATCTGAATTAATATAATTAATAAATAAAAAATATTTTTTTTAATATATAACACTTAATCTTTTTATTACATTACTTTTACATTAGTATGTAATATTTTTATAGAAAAAAATTACAATTATTCAAATAACGCATATATTATAATGCAATATTTATTACACAAAAAAACAGGTAGTATATATCGAAATTGTTCTAATATAAGCTGAATTAGAATAAATTCTGTATGCAATATAATGTTCTAGGTTGAAAAGCTACTTTGAGTAAAAAAACTAAATCAAACGATATCTCTCTTTACAAGGCTTTATCCACACTCAAGATCTAAATTTATATTTGTAACATTTTTAAAGAACTTAATTTTAACAACTGTATATCTTTATAGGTATTCTAAATCGAGAAATAAATAAAGCCAAATATATCCTTGTTGCGAAGTGTAGATTTTATATGTATAATATATTTGGTAGTTAAAGCTTCATGTTATTGATGGCCATTTACATGATGAGACGTAATGGTGGAGTTGCTTGTATTATGTAAAATACATTTATTATACTTTAACTATTTACCATGTTTTAATTGCTTCATCATCTACGGATTCTATACTTTAAAAATATTATAGGTACGTAGGCTAAATTAGGTATAACTGTGCACTTTAAAGCTAGTTCTGCTTTTGCTGAAAGAGAATCTGCTTATCACCAATATTAGAAACAAAAGTTTAAAGAAGTAACAATTGCTAATATAAATTTTAACTATTTTCAATTTAGTATACTCAATGTTAATTTTATTTTAACAATAAAATAAACAAATGAAAAAATAAATTTACATTTAGGGTATAGCATAATATATATTTTCAGATATATTTTTAATGATTATTACACGTCAAATGCTTATCGTAGGATTAAATGGATATTAGTAAAGTACCTAGAGAGGCCCAAGACTTAGTAGTAATTCTAAAACCTATTATTAATAACGTAATTAGAAGTCATTCAGAATAGTAATAGCTCGAAATGTTCATTCATAAACACCTTTCATATTAAGTATGAATTATCACTTTTACAACCTATTTAAGAATATAGTAACATTCACAAAATACAAATATATTTAACTAGCGACTCCCCTTCGCTTCGGGTTCGTCCCTAGATAAAAACAAATCTATCCCACGGGAATCGTACATTTTCCGGGATGATATATAGCCTATAGTCTTCCTCAGTTAACGGGCTATCTAATGCAAAAAGAATTTTTCATATCGAATTAGTAGTTCCTGAGATTAGCGCGTTCAACCAAACAAACAAACTCTTCAGCTTTATAATATTAGTATAGATACAATATAAAAAAATTGCAAGTGCATCTTTGTGTTCATAAATAGAGAAAGAGTAATAATCCTAAAAACTAGTTTATTATTGCTTTTATATTGTTTTTTTACTTTATTGGTTAATTAAATAATCACCACAATAAAAATAATATGTGTTCGATAAGCATCTTTATTTATATTATATATTAAACATTACTTTTTAAATGTTATTTGTTAAAAATAATAAAAATAATATTGCTTCAAAACAGTCGCAACAAAATGAACAGACAGCTGTATTTACGCGTCACGTCCATAGCCGTGTAGTGAGTTGCGTGAAAAAAAAAACCTAACGAAAACAAGGAGGTTGGGTTATAACCCGACTAAAATAAAGCGTAAGCACACACAAAAGCTACCAATACGTTACTATGACTATTAAACTCAGCCGCATAATGCATATGGTAGATTGTTATTTTGGAATTCAGCTAGAAACACGATAACGCCAGTTTGTTTTTATAATTTCAGTAAAGAGATTAAGAAGATTTTTATGTACATGAAATAATATGTTATCGCAAACGAATTGCGTATTAAATATGTGTTATGAAACAAAAATTGGGAGGCGTGTTTCGTAATTTAGTTTGTATAAACGAAAACAATGTATTGCACTCGGTCGGTTAACCGTTACTAAAGACCGTATACGTGAGTTAAAATCGTGATTAAAATCATGTAGTCTCTAATATATATTATAATAAAATTTTGAATTGAATCTGTACATTAAATATTTTTTGGAAAATCTTAATATGGACATAGAGGTCGAATGTATAGTTTTTAAGAATTTTTATCTGTTTGTCTGGGAACGCATCACAAGCAAACCACTGGACAGATTTTGATGAAATTTGGTATGATGATAGCTGGTTATCCGGGTCAACATATAGGATACTTTTAACGTGGGAAAATGTCTCATCTCTGAGAAATCTTTACCGAACGGAGCGAGCTGTGAATCGCTCCTTAGCAATCGATAAATGTATATGCGAATACTAAGAATACTAAGATTATTACAGAAATAAACAAAGATTTAAAAATAAAAATAATTAATAAAAAGTACTATTTGTGTATATTTTAAATGTTACAAGACGACAGGTTTTAAAGTGTCAAGTTTTTTACATAAAATTAGAATTAAAAAATGAAACAATGAATAAAAAATTAAATTAAACCGGCGTATTATCTATGGTCGAAAGGAGGGCTATGTGTTTGACTTATAGTTGTATGTGTAGTGTTCTGTTCCCTAAAAGGCTTAATCGATTTTGTTAAATTATACGTATTTTTTAAGGTAACATGAATTATATAATGTTTAATGCTACAGTGATATGTCAGCGGTCGCGGGTTCGATTCCCGCTGGGCGGCATGTGATGAGCACGACTGTTTGTCCTCCAAGTCATGGGTGTTTATATTTATAATATGTATATATTTAAAGTTATATACGTGTAGTGTATTAACTATCTGGTATCCATAACACAAGCCTCGTAGCTTACCATGGAACTAGATGGTGCTGTGTGTTAATGTACCAACATATATATATTTATTTATATATGTACCAAAAATAGCCTATATTGTGTTATACAAAGTCCCAAACCGTCCAGCCATTTCCGCGTTACTCCTTAACGAACAAATATACACTCATACAAACATTCACATTTAAAATTGTAGGTTTATGAAATAAATAGCTAATGCCATTTTAATTTGATAACGTTTGTATCATTAGGCAACGATAATTTAATTCATATAACGACTGATTTCTAACAACTTACATTAAAAAATGGTAGCAATTAATTATTAATAGCTTTCCTGGTTTAATTAAATAGTAATAAAAATATAATTAAAAACTAGAAAAACAAATATTATATACCTATATTGTACAGCTTGCTTGCCTATATTTGTGCAACATATCAGGTATCAGGCTCTCGCCGCTGGGGTCTACAGATGAATCTGGATACCTGTGACCCCAGCCTTGTGGTGACAAAATGGCCTTTCGTCAGGTTTTTAGTGGGTAGGTTGCCGCGCGCTTACCATCTTTGCGCGGCAGGAGCCCCACATAACCCGCTCCTGACGTTAAAAAAAAAGAATAGTTCAAACTGTCTAAGGCAGAGTGTCATAGAACCGATGATGATGATGTTCTCCTAGCCGATTTCGGCTACGGCGGCCAATCTCATTGTGATTAGCCAACTGCGCAGGAGATATTATAGTGCTCAAGTGTACGCGCAGACACAACGTGCACTCTCTATTCCTACCACTCTCATACTCCGGTGGGACGACCACTCGACACGACCGGTGAGAGTTAGGCGCAGGACCGACGGCTTTACGTGCTCTCCGAGGCACGGGGGTGAAACACAGCCAACTTCACAACTCCGGGCTGTTACTGAGGCTTACTATACAGAAAGACTCAATAACTAAACTTGGCCCGACTCGGGACTCGAACCCAGGACCTCCGGGTATGCAACCGTACATGCTAGCCACTACACCACCGAGGCAGTGTCATAGAACTAAACATGAAACCAGATTATAATGTATTAAAATAATATACGTTTTAAAACAGTGTACAAATATTAATAGAGCACTCAATATTACTGCGATAATTAAATAAATGTTAATAAATGAAAAAGGTAATGGATTTTGTTATAATAAAGTAAAATATTACGCTAACTCTCTTTTAAAGAAAAGAGAAAAAATGCTTAAAAAATACAACAGAGTAAAATTATTTATATTATTCGTATTTTATTCTCAAAAATTATAGATTAATAACTAGCGATTCACCCTCGCTTCGCTCGGGTTCGTCCCTAGCTTGCATCCCGGTACAAATTTTCATCCCCATTTTCATCCCCTTAAGGGATGATTTCCAGGATAAAAAGTATCCTATATCCTTCCCAGGGTCTCAAACTATCTTCTTCCCAAATTTCATCTAAATCGGTTCAGTAGATCCAGAGATTACCCCCTACAACGTCACAAACTCACAAACTTTATCTCTTTATAATATTATTAGTATAGACTAGCATTGCCCGCGGCTCCGCCCGCGTTCAGATGACCAAAAACTAAATTCTTAGGTGTTACATATTAGTATACTCTTACATTGCAGTTTTTGTATTTTTCCTCAGAAATAAGATATTTTCCCG